GTGAGTGTGCGCTTTTCCCGGGCCTGGCCGCGCTGCTCGCCGGCATGAGCTACGACCGCGCCATCACCGTCTTCTCGCCCGACGGCCACCTCTTCCAAGTGGAGTACGCGCAGGAGGCCGTGAAGAAGGGTTCGACCGCGGTGAGCGCGGGCCCTGCACCCGGGCCAGGAGGCGGACGGAAGCGGGCCGGGCCTGGGGGCGCTGCTGGGGCGCGAGGCGGCCCCGGAGCGTGGAGGGCGCGGGGAGCAGGCCAGGGCTCGGCCGAAGGGGCCGGGGAGGCCCCAGGACGTGGGGAGCCCGCCTAGGAACCCACAGGGTCCGGCCTGGCCGTGTTGCTGGGGCGCGAGGAGGCCCTGGGATATGGAGGTGCCCGGAACGTGCAGGGGGCCGGAGCGGTCGTGGGCCCGACGCGGCTGTGCACATGAGGGTTTCGGGGTGGGCAGCGCGTCCCTTTGGGTCCCGGAGGCCTGGAGCGCGGCGTTGGCCGCGGGGCGGGTGGGGCCGGGTGCGTCTCATCGGGCTTTGGCCGGTGGCGGTGCTGACAGCCTGCTCTTTGTCGTCGGTTGCTTTTTGTCCGACTGGCCTTTGGAATTAGTACAGTGGCTTTAGTTGTTCACAGGAGCCGCAACGTTGGTGTTGCTAAAGGAAGTGGAAAGGGACACGTTGTGCACAGTGGGTGCCCGGCTTGGGAGCGGATGGAACAGGGCAGTCTGATGGGACGCCCTCCTGGAAACGCTGGACTCTCAGCCGCGGCAATTGAGGCGGATGTTGCTGGTGACTGACGACAGGTGCCCTGCAGACCAGCAAATTAGGTGTGAGTGGTGAGCTTCAAAGTGCCACATTCTCTTCCCTTTTCGTAGCTCCAGACCGGGTATGGGTGCTTGGGTGGTGACGGCCATTTTGACCTCACCTCTGCCCGGGCATGGAGGAGCTGGCCTCAGGAGGGCCTGGTGTGGCTGCAGCGTGTGGGCTGTGCTGATGCACCACCCTTGAGTGGAGGCCCAGGCAGTCGGCAGCAGGGCTGGCTGGTCACTGGCTGGGTGAATGTTAGGTGAGCAGGTGACTTAGGTGGCCTGTGCCCAGACAGCTCCCAGGTTAGGGCACGTTCCATGTTAGAGAGAGCAGTTGTCTTCCAGGTCCAAGTGGGCTTTGAGAACAAAGGGCGGAGGCTCTCAGGATCAGCTCTGCAGTTATGCACCCTGACCGCTCCAGGCAAGGACCTCCGCTCCCCCCGTTCCCCGCCCCCAGGCAGGGCGCTGACCCACTGCCTTGTGCGCACTCTCTTTTTAAATTCATGGTGTCTTTGAGGATTTGCTTGTGGGCTGGTGATACACACGAACACAGTCATTACAGCGTTTACTTGTCACCGAGTAGTTCGGGGGATGGAGTCTGCAGATGAGGTACACGCTATGCTGTGACTTGTTTTCATTTCTTGAGCATCTTTAGAGAGGAAGCTTCAAAATCCATCTGTGGCCTCATTCGTGTTAACACTGGATAAGGAGTCCACTGACCACCTTCCCCCAGTACCACCTCACGCCAGCTAGGGTGGCTGGCTCTGCTTAACCCACCGGGTGTCTCTGGGCCTGGTGCCTTTGAAGGTCACCTGCTGAGAAAGCGCCTTCAAATCTGACGCTGCAGACCAGACGTTTTGGCCTTGGGGGCATTTGGCAACATGGAGACAGTGTTCATTGTCGTAGACTAGAGGGTGCTCCGGGCATCCTGGGCGGAGGACGGGGTTGGGGGGGTTGCTGCTCTGGACAAAGAACTGGTGTTGCTTTGCAGAGTGGCTGCACCCTCTGAGTCTGTTCCAGCTTGACTGAGGCTGACTGGCCGCCAGGGACTTTTTTCAATTTTTAATGCATTCTTCACCGCTGTGCAGTACCCACCATAAAAAGAGGGCTGAGCCCAGTAATAGTTGATGCGGTGGCCTTCCACCTGGCAGGAAGTCGGCCCTCCCCACTCCTGTGCCCATGCGTGCAGCCGCAGAAGGGTGTGGCGGCCACAGGGCCCTTCACGAAGGACCGCCTGTGTGTGCGTGCTGGAAGGCCCTGCGGGGTGGCCGAGTCACTGGGCCAGAGTGGCGTGTACGCGTGCAGACACCGCTTCCATGGCAGTAGCCGTGTTGTGGCTTAGCGTAGAGCAGCGTGCTGAAGGCACGGGAGTGGGCACCCGGTCGTGGTGCCTGGACGAGCTCTGCTGGAGTGGCCCGTTCCCAAGGATGGCGGGGAGTGGTGTCCACAGCGGTGGCCCGCGGGGGTGGGAGTCGCAGGACCCATTAACACCTGCTCTGGGAGCTGTGCCTGGCGGCAGGGCCACGTTGCTTTCTTAAGCGCCGTGGTGATTTCATTGGAGGTTGGCGTCCGAGGGAGGGACATTGTCGTCCTCGGTGTGGAGAAGAAGTCCGTGGCCAAGCTGCAGGATGAGCGCACCGTGCGTAAGATCTGCGCCCTGGACGACAACGTCTGCATGGCCTTCGCAGGTGAGCTGGGGCCAGTGCTGGCTCAGCGGAGGCGGCTGGGGGCGGCCGGGGGCGGGCTTTCGGGAGGCACGCGTGCACCCCGGGTAAACTGACGTCCTTTAAAAGCAATTGATTTGGGTCTTTCAGAAAGGACTGGCCGGTTTCTGGGTGGGGAGGCTCCCTGCCCCAGGTGGCTGAAGCACAGGCACCCCAGGACGAGGGGTCTGTGCCGGCGCCTCCACCACCGCTGTCCGCACGTCACTGGGTCAGTTACAGACCCGGGCGAGGTCAGGCTCGGCACAGCCAACGGTGCCAGGGAGGCGGGGCGGGCGGGGCGTGCTGTTCTGGAACCCATTTCCTCCCTGGGCAGGTCCCGCAGACTAGAGGACCCCAGTCCACCTCAACTAACCTAGGGCTTCACTTGCCTGAGCACAAGATCAGTGTGTTTGAACGTGGTCTGACACACAACCCTTCGTCTGTCCAGTGCTCTCAGGGGAGTTCGTGGAGGCTAACCGGGTGCACTGGTGGTCGTCCCTTGAGTGTGATGCCAGCGCCGGGTTTTCAAGGACTGGTCTTGGGGTACTTGCCCGAGGGGCACTGCTGTCCGCTTGTGTGCACTGTCTCCAGTCGTAACGGACGTGCTGAATCTCTCTGCCGTCCCTGCAGGCCTCACCGCCGACGCAAGGATAGTCATCAACAGGGCCCGGGTGGAGTGCCAGAGCCACCGGCTGACGGTGGAGGACCCCGTCACCGTGGAGTACATCACACGCTACATCGCCAGTCTGAAGCAGGTGGGGCCCCTGCCTGTGGCTGGGCCCTGTCACAGCCCCGGCCTCTTCCCGTCCAGTGGCGCTGTCCCCTTTAGTGGCACAGGGCAGTCTGAATGCACTTAAGAGAAGTGACAGCTTCTGTCTTGCCTTTGGGGATGATCAAGGAGTTGGGAGGAGGCTGAAAGCCAGCCACATCCCGGCCAGCTGTGCAGCCAAGATGCGCGTCTGCCATGCTTCACGTGGCCTCAGTCGTGCTTCATGGTGCAGTCGCGGACCCGAGCACAGCTTTCTAGGGGAAAATGCAGGACAGCAGGAACGCAGACAGTATTGGCTCATCTTGTCGGTCATCCGAATCGCGAATGGCAGGGGGTCAAAGTCAGCCCCTGAGCCCCGCACCAGAGCGCAGCAGGGTGGCGTGCCGGTGGGCTCAGGGGTCTTGCGTGCGGAGTTGGCACGTTAACACGCACCTCCTCCCGCCAGCGCTACACGCAGAGCAACGGGCGCAGGCCGTTCGGCATCTCCGCCCTGATTGTGGGTTTTGACTTCGATGGTACCCCGAGACTCTATCAGACTGACCCATCGGGCACGTACCACGCCTGGAAGGTGAGTCCCTGGCAGAATAGACTTCGGTCCGTCTTGCCACAGTAACGAGGCCTGGGAAGCCAGCGGGAGGGCCCGGGCCTGTGTGGTTTACGTTGGCCTCATACAGATGCGTGGGCACGCACACAACCCCTTTGTCCCACAAAACTTCGACTCACGTGGCGGCAACAAAGTCGTTAAACGGTGGTGTTTGTAGGGA